CCCCGAACCCCCCCCCCAAACTACGGGCCTGATCCACTTGAGATGGCGATCTACGACGTCTAGGCGAAATAACATCAAATAAAATGATCGGAATTCGTTTTATTTTCTGGCCAATCTGATAATCTGATTATGTTTGACAGGTATGGCCCTTTTCTGTTTCTGACAATCATCTACTACTTTCATCTCCACATTCTCCACATTATTTTTTAGCAGCTGATTCAGTTCGCCGTGATTGTTTTTGTGTTCCCTCTACCTTGTGTGGCCATTCAATGAAGTGGTAAGTTTGCTGACTATTCTAGTGTTCACCTGCAAACAAAACAACTTTTGAACATTTATTGCACTACTAGGGTCAATTTATTTTAGTCATACGGACAACATGCAGCGGCATTTGACATCAAAATACATGTCATGAATTAGTTTTCGCGTATCTGTTGACCGACTTATTTAGCTGATTACTAATATGGCTGACTGAGTGGCCATTTTGTTTTTCATGCCTACTGTTAGATCTGTCATCATTTAGGCGCATGCGAGGTCCTGGACGGAACTTGACTCAGTGGATTGGAACTAATTACGATATAACCGTCGCCATCCGGACCGCTATTTCTGACAGTGTGGTATTTGCAGTTAGTAATATAGTGAACAATTACTAGTAATCAAAAGATATGACGTGTCCAGTACTTAGTTTGATTTGCTATGTGCAAGTTGAATGTGTGAAGGCCACACCTTAGAGTATTTAAACTTCTCTGTAGTTGGTTAAGTATAAACTTAAGCGACGTTCCCGGTCCGGTACCTCAAGCAGGTTATTAGCAATTTAAATAATGGATTAATATGTATGTCAGTTAATCCGTTTTAACATGTTCAGACTGCATTTGGCGTACTATAGATAACAGACAGCAATCCTTATCATCGTCAAATGAATAGAAAGTTATTTCAACTTGACATAGCGATATGAATGAGATTATGTTTATTCCATAAGTTTTTCGTTTTTTTTAAAGTTGCATCATCATTTCACCAACCTTGCAAGACAAGTAGAGATGAGCTCATTGAATACTGTTTCAGTTGTGGATTCAATATTCAAAAATAGTTCTATTCAACTCGGCATTAGACAATTAAAGAGAATTCTAAGAAAAAGACATTTTTTCAAAGAAAAAGAAAAGATAACGTAGAGATTATGTACCTAATTAGGCAGATTGCTAAATGGCATCCCCTATGTTATTAATTGAAATAATGCAATAAATTCTACGAGATGTACATCGCGACGACCTTGTATCCTCAAAGAAAATTGATACATGTCAAATCAACTAACAATCAACAGACTGAGAAATGTTGGAGTAAATTTAAAAAGCAGGAAGCTGCGTTTTGGACAAACCGTTATTAGAAATTATTAAACAGACGAATAATTGACGATCTAGTTATCCAGTGTGACCGATTCTGTTATGTGGGAATACCCACTCTGTCTGGATAACCGGAAATCCAAGGTGTACTCATGACAAGCCAGGTGTTATCTTACATTTCCAAGAAATGATTGGGACATGTGATTACCCTAGATGTGACCTATTTCGTGTTATGCCCTATCTAGTAGACGATTTGACACAAAAACTTCCTGATTGTAGTCCAGATGATTTTGATCTGTTTTTCACGCTTATAGGAGATTCCAAAATTCGAATGTCACAAATGTGGAGAAATACAATAGATGCCACAAATCATATTTCAATAGAAGAATAACTTGATTTGAGTGCAATATAACTGCAATTTTAGCCCAGCTGCCTCCGCCTGTCATCTCTGATTCTATTTGACTACCGAAAAATATTCTCCAGATCATTTGCTATATGATTCGCCTGTGCCCCACAATTGGCGAATTAATTAGTCACA